AACGCAGWTATCTTTTATATTTTTCGCTCATCATTTATCATATTAGTAAACGCTTCTTTCTATAGTGTTACTGCCATTACTGTCGACCGATTCCTTGCGATACAATTACATCTAAGATACCAAGAACTTGTTACAAGAAAGCGGGTTTTAGTTGTGMTTACTTCAATTTGGACATTTTGTGCATTTTGGACAGCAGCGGTTTTGTTGTTAGAAGAGCTGACCGCTGTTATAAGAATTGCAGATGATTTTATATCCGGTGCACTTTTGTTTCTAAACATTGTTCTGATGGCGAAAATATCCTGCGTTATCCGACAACATGCAGCGAATATTCAAGCTCAACAGCAGTCCATGAATTCACAGCCTTCTATAGAAGTAAACATTAAGAGATCTGTGAATATAATGTACTATGTTCTTGGAGCATTGTTGCTATGTTATTTGCCGTATATCTGCATTTCGATTATCAAGAACATTACGCTTAATTATGCCATCGTCTTCCACAGAGAGCCTGTACTACACGTCTTTCGAGCTATTGTCTTGATAAACAGCAGCATCAATCCAATATTATATTTCTGGAGAATACAAGACATGCGAAATGCTGCTCTTCAATTGTTACGATGTCTTCGAAATAGCAACGGCAACGGCAACGGCAACGGCGACGGCAACGGCAACGGCAACGGCGATGGCGATGGCGATGGCGATGGCGATGGCGATGGCGATGGCGATGGCGAAATTTGGTTGCATATAATCGCAGAACCAAACCAATCCAATCGGTTCGATCGCAACACCAATGTTTTCCTAAATCGCGCGTGGTCGATGTAAATTAAAGCGATTCAAGACTATAACCCTTTGATATCCTTCCCTAAATTTGACACTAAGAATTCATGCTCTGTTCCTTATTAGTATGATATAAGAGGACATTATTCTAATAAAAATTAAATCTAAAATGTACACATGTATTAAAAGAATGCAAAATAAACCTGTATTGTATTTAAAAATGTAAAATAAAAAGATGTTTGTAGGTTGGATTCARCTTCATAATGTACTTTGCTACATCAAATTTGRTTTTAATACATGGTGAAGCTGATGGTGAAGTTTTTCTGTTAGTTGTGACGAGAGATTCATTCAGCCATGGCCAGAAAATCCGGACATATGAGCCCGCAATCGCAGCGGTACTTCGCATAAAAGCRCAAAAACATGTTTGTTAATTTTAGAAAGAAATGTATGGATCMAAAAAATTATTTKAGAATAACATTTCATCTGTTTTAACTGGAAAGATTTCAAAGATGAATTCCTAGAGGGAAACTATTCTTGATTCCACTGTAGGAGCACCGTGGTAGGAGATCCAAATAAATCCAATATTGTTAAGCACGTTCAACTGCCGTCTCGCTTCGATGCAAAGACACGGCTACCTTTCAAGATGRCGCAGGTAACCGTGAAGGAGACTATTTGTAAGCCTCGTAACAATTTAATTCAGTGTTTGACGGTTCGATCACACGTGTTGCATGCATTATATTCTTGTATTATACATAACTACTAAAAGAAAGAATAGGCCTTTTGCATGAAACGGTTACATGGTACTAAATCCGCTCGCCATTCTTGAGGGCAAAAGAATGYAAACAACCTCAAAAGCAAAGGAAGCGTAACCCGTCAAACTTTAATTTTTGTTGTTGTTTTGAACATCCCAGTGGTAATTTTGCCCTCCAGAATGGCGTATTTCCTGTTTTTTTTTTCTTGTTATCTAGGGTTAGAATATTTCTTCCAACGTTATGTTGCTGTAAACGTTTCTACCCATTTCACTATCTAGGCGACGTCCCGTGATGATCATCCCCTGTGCATTGAGCAGATTCGGCAAACATTGCCTGGCATTCACGCGAGACGAAAACTGACTATAACAGGGGTGGATCCAGCTGGTTGGTGCAGGGGGTGCGCAACCCCTCCTGAGATCTGTATCCTTCAATACTTTCCTTATTTTGTATCTTCGTGGTAATGATTTCTGTGGGGTGCTCCCTCTCCTGAGAGCCCCGCACCCCTCCCCATGAGGAAAATCCTGTATACGCCCCTGTGTAAGAACTTAATATCACAATCATGCACGACACGGTATGGCCTCGGCATGAACGTCCCATGTTGTTTCGGCCCATTTCACCTCGTTTGTTCAAGGGCGCTAGAAATTATGAACTACGTATAAGGTCGAGAACTTGCTTAATTTATCCAACCTATGATAGTCGATAATAAAAAGCTTTACTTATCTAAAATGTATCCTGAATATGTCGTATTAGCCACTAAAAAGCGCTTGATTTTACAAAACTCATTCAAATGATCATTATTCAAACGTTGGTGTTACTGAATTGAATACCTCTGTCCTTGTTTTACCAGTAACTGCTGTCTCGTCAGGAAAGTTATTCATTAATGGCATTAAAAATCACTTAGACCTGCCTGACTTCTCGACCTCATAGGTCATAATTTCAGTTCTAGCGCCCTCGGTTTATTATATATATTTGCTTGTTTTTGTGCAGTCAAGCAAAATTGAGTGTGTCTGTGCCCAGATCCATTCCGTTGAATAGTTATACCAAATATACGGAATCCAAGTGAGTTCAGTAGACACATTAAAGTGATGCCTACACAGAATACACCGACCAATAGTACGCATTGTAGACAACAAACAGCAGAGGGAACGATATTCGAGAGACAAAGTCTACCCAGTACCCCAAGTACTTCTTTTCATTTCTCTCCTCATCTAGATCAATKGTAACCTTGGTTCTTCCCAAGCGTGTGTCGCAAGTTCCGTAGGCTATCATGCACTCTACTAAAGCACAGAATATGAACACAAACGATACGATCAGGTACCAATCRAGAGCCTTGGGGTAGCTGACTTTAGGCATGGACTCATTGATGGATCCCATCAGAAACATAATGGTCAGGATTGTAGTGATACCCAATGCCATACGATTGCCAATATCACGTCGATCCATCCAGAATACGATCCAGCTAAGCATGACAATGAAKATGTCAGGTGCATACATTTGGATTAGGAAGTACCCAAGACGACGTTGGAAGGTGAAATAAACAGTTATCAAGGAGAAATTGCCTGAAAAAAAGGAAGCGCTTATATGAAAACTTAGATTGAAAACAACGGCGGAATATGTTTGATTTCCTTGACAAATTAGATAATKAAATGAAATCTCAAACTTGAAATAATTATTTAATGGTATTTTGATTCATGTTACAATATTTCAAGTTTTAACAAAAATGATCTAAGGGAAGCCCAAAGTTTGGAGAATTTGAAACTAAGGTCATAGCTACACCAGTCAGACTACAAGGTTGGATCTAGGGCACTCTCGATTGAGAATTTTCCTTTATTTTGTGTCGTCGATCTCATCAGTGGAGTGCACCATCTTCGGTGCCCCGAATCACTCCTTAAAGACCATTCTGGAACCTCCTCTGGACTCTTGTATCAGAGATGACAAAATGCCATTTTTCGAGTTCCAAAATGCATAGCATAGCTCACCTATGGAATATGTCTCATTGATGGTTCTCGTAGCGATGGAAGTGAATTGGAACTGGGGAAGGTCCTTCAGTGCAACAGTGATCGCRTCACCTTCCTGCCATTTTAGAATCATCTCAGTTGTTGGGTAGCTATCTGCAAACGAACGTTATATTTTAGTTAACATCTATCAGTTGCCATAAAGAAGCGGACCCAGCTGTTGGGGTGCAGGGGGTGTGACCCTCACTGAGATCTGTATCTTTCAATACTTCATTATTTGTATCTTCAATAGTAATGCTTTTGTAAGGTGCACCCCTCCTGAGAGCCCCGCATCTCTCCCTGAGGAAGATCCTCGATCCGCCCCTGCCATATAAGGCAAGATGACCTGATAGGTTGAGACGATCAGTGAGCATGTAATTTGGATAGATTCATACTGTTCACAGACATTTTTTCGTAGGTATCCATGATTCCACGCTCACCAGTCATCCACTCGCCTACGATGATACAATAGCAAGGGGCAACTACATTCCAATGGTTCAGATAATGCAACATACTGCATGAGATGTTGAGGCATTGTATTCCAACAAGAACTATGGTCATTGGTTAGAATTTTAAAAAGCCTATTGTATTTAAAGGACAACTTTAGAATATTGATCCTTTTAACCTATTCGTTAAGGCCAAGCAAGAATAGACTTACCGAGCTTTCGGCATAAGCGGCCATTATCAACGTAGAGTACACGCTATTAATTTAAAATCCTACGTGTACTCTACCTTGATAATAGCCGCTTAGGCAGAAAGCTCGGTAATAAAATATCATGATCATGTAAACGCAGAGAATTCTTTAATGTTTTAGTACTTATGCCTGCATACAAAGAAATCTTATGTATAGACTTGAAAAAAACTCTATATTCAATATTTGAACATTTAAATCTCATTCAGTCTGAATCAAGCTAAAAGTAACACTTACAGCTTCCAAARTTTAGTGAACATTTCTGCTCGTCTGCTGGAAAACTTTGTAAGTCCATCAAGCACTCAGCAGTGATTTTAGCCCTGAAAAAATATTGAAAAAMCAACTGCTCAGTAATACAGTTTWTAGGACCTGTACTTAATAACGCGGACTGATAATTATCAATAAATGATGGACATCTACTCACAAACGACTGTATGTTATTTGTCCATCTGGAGCCACGAACAACAAACTTCTGACAACTTCATCGGAATCCCCAAGATCAGATTCTCGACCATTCTGACAGTAAGGGTCTGGTAACCAAACCTTTGAAATGGCGGATCCTTTGAGGGAAATYGTTTTGTTGAGTTTACCAGCGAGTCTCTCGTCTTTCCAGAATTGTCGAAAATACATGAATACCTTGTATTCCTATATAACAGAAAGAACAGACTCGAGAAATGCAAGTATCATGGTCTTAATGGGGGGGTCTCAATGTCGGTAGTCAGTTAAAATTTCAAGCATTTGTCGCTAGTCAGTTAAAATTCTAGGCATTTGTCGGTAGTCGGTTATTTAAAAAAAGTTGATAAACATTAAGTTTAAATGCATCTAAAACGGTGCTTTATACCAATAGAGTTCTTTCTAAAATGCCAACAATTGAATCCTTGAGTCTTGATTGGTCAATTGGATGCCGTCAAAGTTTTAGAATGGCTCATCACAACTTCAAGAAGCCAATACGAAGCAAAATTTATTTTTTCCGCGGAAAATTTCGAATGTAGTTGCTTTAAAAATAAAAAAAAAGCTTTTATTCACAGAGCTAACATCTTTGAATATTGGAAAATGTCGCCAGTCAGTAAATTTGTTAATGTCGGTAGTCAGCAAATTTTGTTCAAATTTGTCGCTAGTCAGTAGTTATTTTGTCCATTTGTCGCTAGTCGGTTAACCCCATTCAGACCCTGAAGTATTCAACCTCATTCAACAATGTAGCTTACAACAAGAAGYCATTGATGATTCAGTGTTGAAGGCATTGAACTCTGGGTCTGATTTGCAGGWTGGAGTTTGAATTTCAGGCGCTCTTATCACGTCGAGTCTGTGAGTCAATACTTTATACTCTCTCATTGCCCCGTCGTTTCGTAAAGTGATACCATTTGAAAGAATATTGTGATTGGTTTAGAAAACAATAGAGACACAGTAGATACTCAGTTTCAAAAAAAGACGATACCTGACCTAACAATGGACGTTCTGTACTAATGGGACAATCGAAAATCAAAGCAGGCTTCGAATGGCTCGTGAAACTAACAGCGGAAAGGAGATGAAATCGGAGTGCCCGTCTCTCTGATAGTCCATATTAGCACCGAGAATGTAGATGAACCCATTCAGTAATTCGAGTAAGAGTAATACATGATATTCCTAGCATTGTCGTAAGGAGTCTATACCAGCATCTCTGTATGCATAGGGTTAACTAATCAGTGGTCAATATTACATCAAATGCCGAGCGCTGATCTAGTCTTCAGATTCAGATTTTAAACACATTTGTCAATAATGTTTTCATTTCATGCACATATACCATGCTTGTTTCTTTGATATTAGCAAAAGATGACACGTAAATTCCAACAGCAACTTCAGTTGGTTTACCTGAGAAAGATAGTATACAACCATTTCATTTAACGTAAAATACTTTCCAGGGTGTATGTGTAGAGGAATATGTGATTGTGTTGAGATAGAGTTTTCTGAATGTGGCGGTAGAGAATGTATGTGAATGGGCTGTAGAGAATGTATGTGAATGGGCTGTAGAGAATGTATGTGAATAGGCGGTAGAGAATGTATGTGAATAGGCGGTAGAGAATGTATGTGAATAGGCGGTAGAGAATGTATGTGAATAGGCGGTAGAGAATGTATGTGAATAGGCGGTAGAGAATGTATGTGAATAGGCGGTAGAGAATGTATGTGAATAGGCGGTAGAGAATGTATGTGAATAGGCGGTAGAGAATGTATGTGAA